ATAACAATATTACATAGACTATTCCAAGTCTATAATCAAAACTATACTAAAAATCAAAGAGTAATTATAAGATATGTAATAAGTGGATTTGTTATTAAGAACTTGTTACTTTTTTATGATAATTCTTGCTAAGTTCTGATATTGTAAGTTATCTTTTTGCTATCAAGTGAAATGCTACTTATATATAAAATTGATTGTTATAAAGATCTCTAAATATCTGTAATACTAAACAAGCAAAATCTTTATAGTTCTAAAGATCAATGTTTCAAAATATCAACAGTTCGATATCTCTAATGATCAACAGTTCAAAATATCGAAGGTTCAATATATCTGTCAGATTGATATACAGTACATGTAAACAATAAGCCCAAAAATAACTAACCAATAAAAATAAAAATGAATATTGTTCAATAATATATACTATACGAAATGTTCAATAAAAATAAACTAAGAAATTGTTCAATAAAATATAACAAACAAAATTAACTATAACAATAGTTATCTTTCCACTTGATATCATTTAAAACTGGATAATTATCTATATAGATTATGTTTTATGATTATATGATTTGTATTGAATTTAAAGTTTTATAAACCTATTGGATTTAATAACTTTATACTATAAAATATCTGGATTCATTTTTTGTGCATTTGAAATAACTTATATTAAAGTCTCAGTAATATATACAATGGTTGAATTATGTGAAAAATTGTTCCAGTATATTGGGTTTGAGTCTGAAAAGATCCATCTTCCAATTACAAAAAAAGATAGACAGCTTTTTCAGGAATTAATAACAGATCAAGAGGAGATAACAATATATTGTAATGAATGAATATAATCATTTGCTTCATACAGGCTATATCTATAAAGGAGGAAGATTATTACATATAATGTGGGTATCTATATGTACTGCGGGTGATGCTAAGAAAGTGTTGATAGATGTACCTCCATCGAAGATATTATCGGGAAAGGTTCTGGCACATATTGAAAGAAGATTTGAGAATCTACCACTTGCACCAGTAATTATAGTCGATTAATTCGAATTATCAACTGCGCAATGCATCTTAATATTCCCGATAATTTTTTATTTGCGATTTTCGTCGCTGTAATCGTGACTTACGAATCGTACAACTGGGACATAATAACAATGATGTTATCCCCGAGAATACAATAATTTATGTAATTATCGCTGTAGTATTTATTTATCTACGGAAAACTCCATCTCCAGCTCCAATTCCTGCTACGGCAGATCAAAAAATAAGAAAACTTGAACAGGCCGTTTTGGCCCTCAACAATGAAATCGTTAAAATGCACACAGAGGCAGAATGGAAAAGTGAAGCCCGAAGCGGAGGTTTGTGAAACAATTGCAAATTTAACATGTAGCTTCTCATATTTTATTTAGAGCGAAACTCATTACTTGTATGCCTATATTCTATAATTAGGGCAAGTATCCGTGCATAGTCACAGATCCGAATATCCTAGCGAAACCGAAACTCTGGGTCGAATTCACGACCATATTTAACGAGAGAAGAAAGAGAGAAAAACTTACGATCGGAATTACGTGATATTATGTTTCGATTAATGAGATCACGATCGTTATCCAGTGATCAAAAATAATAGGGATTCAAAATTACTAGTGCGGGACAGATTTGTCTCGCAGATTACTTTTGCCAAGAAAAAAAATTAATTGTGAAGGTCATTTTTTCTATATTAAGGGTAGTAAGGATATTTTCATTTGAGATCGTTCCGAGATATTCAAATCCGAGATGTGCAAATCCGAGGTATACGAATTCGGTTAATTATACTACTTTTACGTGAAAAAAGTAAATGAACGTCAGGTAGGTACGTATTTATGTGTCTATCGTTTTGATTGGTCGCAATACTAAAAAAAATGATTTAATGCACCAATCATGAAGCTTTTCTAAGATCGTCCATAGATAATAAATTGTGGTTAAAGTATGGTTGAAGTGCGGTTGAAATGCGGTTGGTAAAATAATTAATTATACAATATATCGTATGATAATTATGGTTGAAGTATGGTTGAAGTACGATTGAGGTGCGGTGAGACACAATATTTAATATAAAAATCTTTATCTAACTTTCAAATATCGTTAAAAATGGTCGAATGGACAGATGCTCAAATCCGTATACTCATTGATGAACGTAGAAATAGAAATGAGGAATATCATAATCTTGGAAGGAATCGAACCGAATTTTGGGCTAGCATTGCAATCAGAATTAATCGAGATCACAATACGAGCTTTAATGGGTACTAACGTAAAGAAAAATTCACTCTGATCGGGACATTTTTTACGTAACTCAATTCATGCTAGTAAACGCCGAAATCTATGATTAGTCGATGTGTGAGTATATGGCAGGGAATAGAAGAGCACGAAGAAGCTGGATGGGTACGCAATATTTTAACGAATTCCGTACACATTTTTGGGAGAGGCCTGAAGATGATTTCGATAGAATCCGTAATATGAATAGTTCTAATCATAGACGACGTGGAATTGGGGGAAATAATACGCCAGCCTCCGGCGGTTCTATGCGGGAGCTGTATAGTGGTAGCTTAAAGCTTATGGAAATCTTATCGGATCCCCACTTAGTCTGTTGCATACTCAAAGACTTTTCCACGTCTCTCTCTCATTCTTTTGGATTTATAGCCACTGTGTGTTTGCCTTCGGAACTTATATTTATAGCTTCTTTCACCCACAGCCGAATTACGACGACAGCGTTTGTAACGAGCATCTAGGCGACGAATTTTATATTTATATTTTAGGAGTTGTAAATTCTGTTGGTTAACCTCCCCAAGAGAGTTACCGAATGAGGCGTGGAATATGGAACCATTAAGGTCATTCCCAATTGCGATATTGGAATAAGAGGCTTGAGCAGACGGGAGTTTTACAAGTCCGAGTATGAAATTTTTTACGGTATGAATTATGGTCATCGTTGTAAGAGGATCAAAGTTGTGAGCATGCTTTTGCTACTCGTTAAATACTTTGGAATCCTGAATTGATATAACCATGACATTTTCGCGAGTTGATACAGGCAAGCGCCCTTATAACTTAAATAAGTACGATTATCTGGATTTACACGTCTGGAAAAAGAGCCTTATTTTAGGTTGGATTACTTGGATTCGTAAGTCTAGAAACTCATAAGGTTTAGCTTTATTGATACAATATAAAAAATACATGTGAGGCGGAAAACTATCTACCACTATTCTTTAGTAAATTTTTCGATCCTGGTCCTTTTACTGGCTGGGGAGTTATCAACTGTTACCCGATCCTTTAACAACCCAACAATAACACCCCAATACTCGCTTTACGCCTTTTCGAATAGAATCAAGATCTTCCTTGAGGACCATTTTAGAAAGGTTAATTTGATATTCGCTCTTACTGGTGCAATAAAGGCCATCGGTGGCAAACATGATGAAGTGCCATTCCGTGGCTAAAAATATTAAGCTATAGTACATAACCATAATCACTTTGTTAAGAAAAATTTACCAGTAGAGACTATTCCGTAAAGATAATCATAATCATCCTGGAAAGCTTCATCTGCTGTACGTTTTTTCTTATTGGTATGGTACGCACTCTCTAGTTGCATATTTTGGAGATAACCAATTTCGACATTACGGGGGCTTGCCTTCAGCTATGCACATAAGATCCTCGTTTCCTTTTATTGTGTAATCGACACGCCCAGATGCTTCCTCACCAGAAACATTTTTTTGGTATGATATATAGATTTTCTCTTCATTGGTAAGCCTCCGGACGATTGCCAGTGATCGACGTAATAAATACACAACGCGTGGCTTCATTAGCGTTAGTCTGCATTGTCTCCAGATTCGAAAGTCTTGGTGTTATTTCATTCATGCACTATTCGAGTGCTTTGTCGTCGTCATCGATTTCCTCAAAAACTAAACAGCAGAAAAAACGTTAACATATAACTGATATTCGATCGTTTCCTTGGGAAACGGTTTTTGCCGATCACTTGCCAAGAAAAATTCTTCACACATGATACCATAAAGATAGTCGAAATAGTCATTACCAAATGCCTGGTCGCCTGTCTGGTCGCCTGTCTGTTTCTTTTTATTTGTTTGATATGCACTTTCGAGTTGTGCCAGATTTTACGATACAGATATAAAAAATCAAAGGTACTCTCTTTTATAACTTCATAGAAATCTGGAAGGCTTCGAGAAGCAACTAATGCGTAATCAGCTCAAGAGGGGAACTCTGCGATTGTTCTTATCGAGATACAGTATATGATTATTCTAGGAGTAATGTTATTGCACATGATTATGATGTCATAATATCATGGACTAATTTATCAACTGACCGGATTTTTTTAATAATAAGGCAAATTAAATCACATCATTCTTCATGATATCAATTAGCCATCTATCCTTCTCGCCATATCTGTCAATGACAAGCAAGAACAAAAAACCGTCTCCTTCATGGAACGAATGGAAATTTGATTTAGCAAGGAGATCCTTACTTGCTATCCAACGACAGGAGGGAAGTAAAGAAGCGAACCAAAAGGGAATCGTTGTTGCCAACAACGTATCAGTCAAAACCTATAGTGAGTTTTGTAATGAAGAACCAAGAATTTCTGTTAAATATCGTCTAGTTGATGGGGGAAATTATAGTCTATGAAGTACCTCTCGATCCCCACGCAATGGTGCAAGGAGAATTGAGTGTTGTGATGGGTAACTGGAACCGCCGATTATTATCCGTAATAGGAGAGGTGGACATCATTGTTGGCCCAAGAAGTGTTTATCGCCCCGATCTTAGTATCCGACCAAACCGGCGTCAACGACCTCCGTTCAGACAGGCAATCAACTCATCAGGAAACCCTTACCCAACCATGGTTGTGGAAATTGGAAATACAGAGAGTGTCCGCAGTTTGCATGAACTAGTAGCAGGATACTTTTCTCCACGAACTACTATTCAAATCTATTTGGCCATTAAGTTATTTCCTCCTCGTCAGGATGGACTTTACTTACGTAACAATCAAAATCCAATTGTACCCACTATCGCAAAGTCTTTTGGGACAGCACCTCTTCATGTTTCCGTGCAAAACTATCTTCATAATTTTGCAGGTTTTCCGGCTGATGGAATTACTGGCGTTGGATTTGGATCAGGTCCCTGTAATGGTGCCAATCTTCCGGACTATCAAATTGCCATCCCTACAATCTCACTTTTTAATGGTGTTATTGGTGGCGTTCCTAATGGGGTACCCAATAATTTTAGCATAGATTTATGGGATTTGCATGATGCAATACTAAATCGTTTGTAATTGATATGGGTGTGGGCAAAATTTTTGTGTAAAGTTTTTTTATCGTACAAATCCAGAATGAAAATCCTTCATAATTGATGATTGGTAACACTGCAAAAGATAAATACGTAAAAAATATTATAACCTTTATTATTATCGAGGAAATATTCATCAAATTCGGTGCTATGTTCGTTAGGTTTTTCATGAAGATTGGTCAAACGTGCTTTAATGGCTCGATTTTTTTATTCATCTCCTTCAAATCCTCTTCTAAATCAACAACTTTACCATAAATGCCGTAGACGTCTATTCAATGAGAGCTTTCGGGTGATGTTGTTAAGCCCCACGAGAATATTATTAAGAATCGATACAAAAGAATTTTGAACCTCCGCAGTAGTCCCTGTTTTATGAATTAAAATCGTTTCATAAGGCAACATCTGAAATACAGTACATATCGCAGTTATCTTCACTGATGGATATAAAAAAGCTAAATCTTTATTTTATTGATAATAATCTTATTCCAAATTCATTGACTACAGTACTATGATAATGAATACCAGTTTCATTGTCCAAATACGTAACAATCATGCCTCCATTGCTATGCTTTTATCAGGAAATTTAAGAGCATAGTTCCAAGGAAAAGGTGATGCAAAATTTTCTGAATACGCTTCTAGTACCTCGTCAAGTGGAACTCCCGAATCTTTTGAATTATCACAATCAATATGATAAGTTTTATTGCCTCGAATGTTGGTCCACCACTTACCATTTAGATACCAATGATTTTTTCCACATATAGGACATATTCGTGAACCATAGATCCAGTAGCAATCCTTTTGATGTTCGCCTTCTTTATCTATACTATAATTTAGTTCTAAACGTGAAAATTCATGAGTCGAAGACTCTGGACTCTGCCCATTGAATCGATTTATTAGCAAATTAATAACCCGACTGCGGTCCTCTTTTGAGAGGTATGAGTTTTGAAGTAGCATGGGATATCTTCAAAATTTGGATTTAGATACCATAGCCGGAGTACTCACCGCAGTTGAGACGCTTACCTCAGATTTCGAAGATGCAATAGTTTGGTTGGTTTTCGATGTCATATGACTCTGATCGTTAACAATGTTAACGGTTTTCGATGTCACATAATCTATAATGTATCGAATTTGAGGATTGGTGAGTCTTGAAATGCTGTCAGCACTACAAGTAATCCGATTAACCATATGCCACCCTATACCATTAATTTTTTCCAGAGTTACAGGGTCATAATCATATCCAAATAACTTATTAATTTTTCTTGCTTTACAAGTCATTACACGTAAATACCCATCAGAAATGCCTGTAAGGTATGGTCTCATTTCATTATAAATCTGGCTCCTTGCAATCTTATCCGTAAGATTCTTAGCTTCTGGAGATTTACTGATGCAGTTGTGAGATTAGAGAACTCTATAGATTCCCAAAGTTGTGTGCCGGATGAGGAGAATTCCCGTAACAAACCTTGTACGAATTCGCTTACTAAGGTTAAATCTTCAGTGGAATTCATAATACTTTTCTGAACTTGCTCCTGCGAGATATTGTTAATGACTTCTGTATTATGTGATAATTTTGGCTGTGCCAGCTCCGCTGAATCTTGATCGTTAACAATGTTAACGGTTTTTATATCATGTGATGAGTCGGAAGTAACGTTCTGGCTGATGGATTCACGCAGAAGTTTCTTCTCTTTATTGCATTGCCTTATCTCATTACTAACCTTTTTCTTATATTCCGAGTCTAAGAAAGAATCTGTCTCTATATTCTTCAAAGTCTTGGAATTGGCATTGATGTACTGGTTTTTTACAGGATCAGGTATAACAACAGCTTCTTCGATAGTAATATCGCCACTTTCTCGTACATGCCCAAAATCCTGTTCTAATTTCGCAACTCTAACTCTAAGTTCAGCATTCTCGGCATCACTATCTGTCCTATTTTTCTCCAACTCATCGATTCTGCTCTTAAGCTCGGCATTCTCTTCCATAGCCTGTTTTAATTTTGTATTCTCGGCCTTGACGTCAGAATTCTCCTTTCTAAGATCAGAAATCTCAGTTAAAAGCTTAGAATTTAATTCTTTTAACAAATCGATAGATTGAGTGTTTGCCATTCTTTTATATATGATGCGAATTATTCAAAAGTTCGTTTATTAGCATAGATAAAATGTCATTATCAGACTTGCCGATCCTTATTCCACTCGTAAAGCGAGGCTATTTCGTAGCTAAGAGAAAAAATTAAGCATATATCACATGAAGTAGACCTCTGGGGCTTAATGTCACGAGGCAAAAATAAATGTTTTATTAATATACAAAAAAAGTTTCGGAATATAACCCATGATACATGATGAAATCCTAAGGCTATCTATTCTTCTGTGAGATTACTTGATGACCTATACTTTTTTAGTACCCTCGATTGATCTTCACCTTGCGAAACTTCCATTGGCTTTTGTACCTCCTCTAACAATCACACAATATGAGAAAGCACTTTCTTTACCTTGGCTTTCATATCAGGATCATCATACACAACAATTACCGATCTCGATAGTTTGAACTTCGGGCTATCTTGTTCATCCAGTGAGCATTCCATAAAGTAGAATTTTTCGGCATCGGTGACTATCCCGAAAACTTTTCCAACCGTTGGTTCCTCTTCCACCTCACTAGCCTTGCGTTTACGATTCGACAAAGACGACTCGAGCTGGACTGCACATTGGACAACACCTTTAATAAAATCTTCTTTCTTAACTTCCGTGACCCCAACCGTTTTTGCTGTTCGGCGCAAGTCAACTGCGAAATCGACAGGACCATGCCCATTCGGACCGGAAATATTCTTTTGAGGTCGGATCTCGAACATTCCCTTGAAATTATTTGCTCCAGCAAGCAGATATGAATAGACGCATATTGATTTCGTGGCTTCAATTGATAGCAGATTGATAGGAGTGTTGTCGAGGCGGGAGTTTAACTCTATCATGAGATTTTCAAACGCTTCCTGTGATGGCTCAACGATACCGCACGAAAAAACTGGGAACACTGCCAATGTTGGATCCACCGTTTCGCCACTAAGGCTGTAAAGCTGGCAAACCGAGCCGAGAGTCCAATCTGAGAAGGCTTTTGAGGGAGTCTCTATGAACACGGTAAACTTGAAGCTGTTCTTTGACGCGAGTACCCGGAGCATCTCGCAAAAGTCTTGATCATTTCGAGGTGAGTATCTACCCCCATCATTCACGATGTTGAATACTGCTCCGTCATTTTCAAGTGCTGTGTCTGGTACATCGCATGTATGTGTTTTTTGAGGTCTTCGAGGGTCGCGTGTTCGATATTTACGGTCCATTTGGATCCCTTCGTTCGTTTCGGGCTAACAATGACGTCGAACTCTGCAACGTAACAGCTGGGTTAGTAAAAAATCCGAATTATTCCGCATTCTGTTTTGGAACGCACTTTTGCCAAGAAATTTTTGCTGGAAGAGGCGAGCTTCTCCCTTAGTTCTAACACCTCTTGACTCGAAGTGGCAGTTAGCACAGGTTGTTCGACAATGATATGGATATGCTCCTCGGGAGGTGAGTCAGGAAAGTATTTCGAGATCTTTTTCGTTGCAAGGAGTTCGGCATCGTCCTGGAGTGAGAGATTGCTTAGCTGATCGTCAGGAATTTCCATCTTCCACAACCTAAGTTTATCTGCGTCCACACCAGCGAAGTCATTTTGTTTTTCGCTTTGATAGTCTCCTTGAGCTTACTAATAGACTTGTTCTTATCAATATCAACTTCGAAAGCGTTTGCAGATGTATTTCCTTTGACGAGACAGAATAAAATGATAGACATATTTTCAGCTTATATAGTATTTTTTGTGAAATTTTATTGGTGCAAAATATTTGCGAGGGCCTAGTATATGATCGTTTCACAGACCTGCCGTGTGATCAGCCACATTGGTATAACCATGAAGATTCTTCACGTCTTATTTTATTTTATACGGCATTCCCAATATAAATGATAATACTTTATTCATGAAATAAATCGTTGTCGTAAAAAGCAACTATTACATAAAAATTGCGCTAATACATGATGTAGTTACAGATAAAAAAAAGATGGTTTTCCGACAGTATCAGGATTAAATTGTTACATAAATATGCTAGACAAATTGTCAGTACCAGCATAAAGGTTAATCAGAATTTTGCTTTTTTCGTTTCTCCTCTTCGCGCCATTCTATAGTAATTTTCAACAGGATCCTCAGATGTTTGACGGTTCTTTTCATTTGATTCACATATAAGATATTGTGGATAATTTTCAAGATCTTTACAGTTTCGAAGTAAATAATTTGGAGTAGGATATTTACATTCATTTAATCTTGCAGAAATGAGTTTATCCCTTGGCCACTTTCTAGATTCTTTTTTTAGTTGATCCCAAGTGCCAGAATCGAAGCAAAGATGAGCATGTCCATGACATCCAAGTGAGTAATAGTCGAATGCTTTACCAGATTACCATGCACCAAAGTTAAATCCTACTTGATAAAAACTCAGACATTCGTGTAATTTTAAAATGCTCTTCCATATATCTGTCGAGATGGCAAGCTTTTCGTTATTAAGGTGTTCCTCTTTTTCGTTTGAAGGAGAGTAGGGAATAAGGAGTAGTTCTTGAAGAAGTTCACGACGTAAACATGTAACATATTTTTTAACTTCATTTGTAGAGTCATTTGAGAGATCATTAATTCGTAAACCATCAGGTATATATTGACCACATATAGTGTCCCTTCCATCATTAGTTTTTACCAATGTTTTGCATACGATCTTGGGATGAGGATAATCTGTGGAATATTCATCATAATAGAAAAGGCAACAAGTTCTGTAAGTAACTACTTTGCTATATGGACGATATGAACAATCATTTAAACCTGACTTACCGCAGTCAAATCCATTTTTACATTTATCATCTATAAACCGTTTACAAATGTCAAATGCTTTCTCATTTAAGGTATTACCGGTTCTTTAATTATTTCGTCTGTTGTAGAATTAGATGGAAATCGTTCATATACAGACTCTTGAGCAGTGATGCTCATTGGAAGATTCCAATGACAATTACTGGAATTGGAAGTTGATTGGAAGCGATTGGAATGGTTCCAAATGGCGCAGTAGGTTCTAATCATTAATGCCATTGGAGCTCTTCCAATGAGAATTTGTACATTGGAAGATCTAAATAAGTACCCTAGCCATGGCGAAAAAAAAAGTTACGGGTCACGTGTCGCCAATAAGAATGCGTGAATTTTTGATTTACTAGTGACACAAACCAATAAATTTTTGATCAGCCCGACAAAACAAATCCGACACAAGAAAATGAAAAAAGCAAAAAATGTAAAAAATACGGGAAACAGATGCCTAAATCTAATTTGATAGACTAACAAAAAATGTCGGGAAGGCAATTTTATATATAAATTTGATCACAGATCTAACCTTAACCCTAACCTTTAAATTAACCTTTAACAATAATCTCTATTATCGTAGAATTTTTCCGGACATATCTGATATCACATGACCCGTAACTTTTTTTTCGCCATGGCTAGGATATCCGATCTAAATCCAATGACGTCCAATGATGTTCAATGATAATCTAATAACATTCAATAATAATATAATAACATCCAATGATAATCTAATAATATTTAATGATAATCTAATAACTCAAAAAAATTTTTATAATGCCTTGTCGACATACAAAAGGATATAAATCACATCGATTAACAGCTTATATAACAATAATTGGCAAAAAATCAAGCAACCCAGCCAATACTTATGCAATTTGCAATGCTTGTGACAGAGTTTTAACTAGAGAGGAAACTCTAAAAAATTCTATTACCAATAAAAAAGAAACTGTACAAAATTACTTGAAACAATATGAATACTTCTTAAATGAAGTAAAATCACAAGAAGCAATTAATGCAATATGTTTTTTAATAGACAATGAAAATGAGACTTCTAATTAATCAAAAAAAAATAAAAAATAAAAAGCAAAGAATTCAGGAGATATCAAGTATGTAATTTAATAATTATTAATTTAATTAAATGAATTACTAATATTTAATTAATAGATAATTATGAAAGTAATGAAGATACTTCAATTATCTCTACTACAATTACTTGTTATAAAGAATTCAAAAAATCATTTAATATAATGGATAATTTTATCATATATAATATTACTCAAAAAGAAAAATCAAAATTTGAATGATTATTATTAAGAATAATTATTTCAAATGAATGGACTTTTCAATGGATAAATAATCAAGAAACATGAGAATTTTTTGAGTTTCTTAATTTCAATCTTGTTCTTTCTCAACATAATATTTTAGCAAATTGAATTTTATCACATGAAATTCAATATGTTTTATAATCATATGATCAAAAATTGAAAAAAGATACTATTGGAGTAACTTTAATATTTGACGAATGGAAGAATATGCTTAAGCAATATATTTTTGATTTTTTATTTATTTTATCATCAGGAAAGATATTAATTTGACAGACAAATGACATAAGTACTAAAAGAGAATAAATGATTAAAGTAATTCCAAAAATTGAAGATTTGATAATGAAAGATAAGAATATTGAAACAAAACTAAGTATTATTATTTCTGATAGTGCTTCAGTATTTGCTAATGCTAGGTATATATACAAAGTTAATATTTTAAAAATGATAAATAAAATTATTTATTAATTTTATTTATTTAGATATTGATTTCATATCTAGTATCTTCAAATTGTTTTAGTTATTTAACCCTTTTAGTTTAATATTTCATATTATATTGATAGATATAGATACAGAACTTAATTATATTTTATTTATTTTCTCCCAATTCAGATTTACATTTATTAGCTAATTTTATTATTAGTAAAAAATGTATAATATTAGTTTTAAATATTAATAATTAAGTAACAAATAACTTGTATAAATATAATATGTATTTTAGCTTTAGAAAATAAGTTTTTAAAAAAGTAGTTTTATTTTTGATTACTTTATATTTTTTTAATAATTTCTTGGAATTTTTTCATTTTAATTGTGAAGTTATTATTATAATCTTTTATTTTAATTGCAAAGTTATATTTTTTATAATATTTGTAATTGATCTCTTATTTATATTGCAAAGTCAATAATATATAATTGAATTAATAAAAAAAACTTACATTATATTTATTTATAAAAAAAATATAATTATTTTTGAATATTTCTGATTTCATTTTAACTGATTAATAAATGAATATATATTATCTATCTTTAAATATTTGTATTTTTTTTTACTTGAAATCATATCTTATAAACTTTTTCACTTAATATATTATTTATATGTTCTTCTGTAATAAAATTTAAAATTATATAAAATAATAATATAGTCAAACTTCTCTATAATTACACCTATTTATAGTCATATCTCTCTATAGTTATCCTATTTTACTTTTCTATTTATATATAAATATAGTAAAAAAATCTCTCTATAGTTATCAAATTTTGCTTTTTTAAGAATGATGACTATAAAGAAGTTTGACTGTAATATAATTTTGATAATAAATTATTTATTAATATTCTTGCTTTTATAACTTCTAGATATTAAAATTCATTATCTTTTATTTTTCTATAAAGTTTTATAAAATACTTGCATAAAAATTAATATTCTTATTTAGATTTTGTTATCCAGATTTTAATTAAAGTTATTGTACAAAAATATTTACAAAATTATATTTGAAATTAATATTATTATTATTTTTTATCTATTATTTATATCTTCAGCTGCTAATACTTGGTTCATTATTTACTAAATAGATAGATAAATACTAATTTTTTCAATAAAATCTTGATTTTTTATTAAAATTTGAAATACTAACTATTTTGATTTTTTTATTATAATAATTAATTGTTAAAATACTGTTATTAAGTTTTAAAAATCTTATTATTGAGCCATGTTATTAGAAAATAATAAGTTTAAATTTCAGACTTTTGATATATTATTTTCACTATTTTCTTGTTAAATTATAAATTAATCAATATAATATTCTGAATTTATTTCAGATATAGTATTTGTAAGTGAAACTATTAATAAATCTATTAATTTTTTTAAGTACTTTTATAATAACAATTTTTAAATATTATCTTTTGCTAGAGTTAAGCTGAATATTATATAAGATTAAATCAAATAATTTTGTAATTAATCTTTTTTGTTGTTCTTTAATAGTAATAACTAAATAAACTAATTGATTAAATATTATTTGTAACTGATAGTTATATATTATTGCTTTACAGTCATATATTTAAGTTCAAAAATTGATAAAATTATAATTTTCTCTTTTGTTAATATTAAAAGATGAGTGACAAATATAACAATAAGATAGAAGTAAATAACATATTGAGTTTAAATTATTTTCTAATTTATATGTTAATAAATATATATTAATAATTATTCTAAGAAAGTATAAATATAATTTATAAAAAAGAATATAATTTGAATTTTGATAGAAGATATTGTTATGATTCAGAATTATTCTTAATTCCTTAATTTTTTAAATTTAGTCATGTGATCTATATAGATCACAAAGATTGCAAAGATTGCAGAAATAGCAGAGTTCTCAAATATATCAACATTATCTGCTATATCATATTTATTTAATATGTATAATATATTTCATATTGTAATAACTTAGTCATAAATTATTTTATATAAATAAAGAATCTTTTGGATAAATCAAAAGATATCAATTAATCTAGCTAATCAATAAACTACTTTTTGTTTATTATTTAATAAAATTGTACATTAATTGATTTTGTAATTATTAATCTTGTTATAATATTTATTTTATATACTACTAAATACTCAATCAGATTGCTATAAAATATCAGTATTATATTACTATAGAATTATTATCATATTAAGTAAATATAAAGGAGATATTTATTAATAATAGTATTATCTATTCTAAATTAATAGAATAGAAGAAGCTGTACAGTGTCATAATCCTAAAGCAATTGGATCAAATTATTAATTTACTAAGATAACTATTAGTTGAATACCTATATTACAAGATTACTTACCTGAACCCAGAACTCGTAACAACATTAACTATTATTCTAGTTTTTTTAATAGTATTTGTATAATAAAAGATCTTTAAAATAGATTTATTCTTATAATTATAAAAATAATTATAGATTAAATTAAGTTTATAATTAAAAGAAATATATATAATAAGATTTATAAATTCAAAATAATTTTATTAATAATACTTCTTTTATTACTATACTTTTTATTATTATCATTCCTATTAGTGTTCTGTATATAAATTATACAAGTATATAATATAAAATCAACAAAATTATAAGATTATAACTAAGTAAAATCTAAATTTTACTTTAAATCTTAGAATTCTATCTGAAATTTTACTTTTCACTTACAAGATAAAATACTATTTTTATACAAAAATAATTGTTATAAAAATATTAAAATATCTGTATACTAATTACAAAATATATCAAAAAAATATCAAAAGATTAATATATCTAAATATCTAAATATTAATATATTAATTAATAATACTAATTAAAAATAAAAATATTCAATAATAATTAATTAATAAAAATATAATATAATATTGTCCAATAAAAATATAAGTAATAAAATATATTATAATAATAATATTTATCAAATTATTATAATTTTTAGTTTTTTTTTAGTTAAAAAATGTTTTATTTACAAAATTTTTAGATCATTAAATTTTATTCAATACAAAAAGAAATCATATTTAATATTTTAAGAGCATAATATTCTACTCAAAGATATTATCAAAATAATATTTTTTTAATTTTATATAAATTAAATGAAATATAATAAAAAAATTGACTATCATTACTTTTCATTAGAACTATATGATATATAAAATCTAAAGTTATCAAATATTTGTATTTTATAAAATATATAAACTTCTTTGCTAAAAAGCAAATACAAAATTTAATTTATAAATATATTGAAATAGATCCTTTCTGAATATATTTACAGATTAAATTTTGTATTTACTTCTTAGCAAAAAAGTTTATACATTTTATAAAATATAAACATTTGATAACTTTAGATTTTATACACTATATATTACAATTTGAAAATATTACTAATATTATTTTTGAAAATATCTTTAATTATAATAAATTTTAAAAATTTTAACTATTAAATCCTAAAATACTTGATGTTTATGTTGTGCCCAAATCACAATTGTTTCAAATCACAATCGGCCCAAATTAAAATAAAAATGTGACCAGAGTTAGAGTAGGGTTAGTGCGGGGAATAAGCTATATTTGATTTAGATTTTGATTTGTCAATTGGGCAGATTGTGATAAAATTCTTTGGTTATTTTTAATCATCCAATCAACATTTTCAAATTTTGCCGATCAAACTTCGAAACCGTCACTGCTCAGTATAACCAAAAACTCAAACTCTTCAAACAATCATATGGAATTGTTTATTAAATACATAGTCGATATAACAATGCATCTTCTAACGAATTCGCTCTGTAGTGAATTTCCAGTGTTTCGGGAGAAACTATTTTTCAAAATCCGAAACGTGAACTTTCAGTTCCAAAAGTTTCTTTACCTAACTCTTGCTAATCGAATAAGTTGGACTATGCCTTTAATGAGTCTCTTTCAAGCCTGAGAGTTCTGTTATAATTTGACGGATGAACAACTTGAAATAGGAATATATAATCATTAAAGCAGGCTACATACACACTCCTACAGCAAGGCTGTCTTTTAGACAAGATTTTGAAAATTGTGAGTTTTAGACAAGTTGTCTAAAAATATAAAGGAAGAAAGTAATACAAAATCTAAAGCATTCAATATCTTTATTTAATTGATATAAGGAACCACAATATTTTTAGACAAATTGTTATAAACTAAGATTTTGCATATTCTTATCTCAAATATTTTTTCTCACGCTGTCTAATTGTCTAAAAGACAGCCTTGCCCATAAGGTCCTGACGAATTGCATATTATTTATGACAATGCTCTAATATTTTAAAAGCATTTAATTCCAATTTGTAACTTCAAAAGTGAAAGTTTTCTTATTTTATATAACGATAACGATAACCTATCGCTATCAATGATTGGGTTATTCGGCTAAGAGTGCAAAATAAAGTGGATTGTCTAATGATTTTACTACGCAAAAAAGTATTTATCAAGTATCCGTTCAAAAAGCATCAATAGTCTTAGCAGCGAAAAAACAATTGTAGTTTTAATAATAATCCTCTCAGACGTTTAATTAACATTTACATGTACATACTTATTTTTCCAGTTTGATATTTCAAAATTCAATCTACGCTAATCTAAATACGTACGTAGTTATTTTAATATAAGTAGTATTACGTAGTATTTAATGTACATGTACGTACGTATACGTAATATTTAGTAAATATTTTAGTAAAAATAGAAATTAATATTTAAAACAAATTATAAATTATAAATTATAAATATAACAATAATAGTGTGGTCGAATCGAATATAAGAATACGAGAAATTTACAAGTCACTCTTGTTATAGTGAACTTGAGTTCAAAACAGTATAGGTAAAATTGACCGAGCTTGCCCATCACGAAATAGATCTAGATGAAAAGCCGTAGCCTTGTATACAGTGAATTTTTGAACAATTTTCTCTAATGCTAATAGCTCGGACACATTCACTATGACAAGAGTGACTTGAACCACATTATTAATAGTTCATAGTTCCAACCCAACGCTGCAAGTGTTCACAATTATGCGTGTCTGGCTTACATTCCAATTCTTTCAAATGAGGGAAAGTTGCACGAAACATCGGCTGAACACTATCCTTGGTCACTTGTTCACATTGAAAAAATGATAATTTTCGCAATCTAGAGCATTCAGTTAAGCCATTCCATGCGCCGGAATTCCTGAAATCGACTTTATGGAACCGAATATATGTCAGGGATTCTTTTTGCGATGGTAATGCGCCTATAATAAATTTAGAGAATCCTCCACCGCCACGAATGCAAAAGTCCTTTAGCCCCTTTTGATTGTTTATAAGAGTTGCTAATGCGTTTCCGACTTCTTTGGCGTTTGATTCGTGTTCGGCGTTTTTATCCACCCATGTGTAAATTACAAGACGAGTCTAATAAAAGTGAATTTTTAATTAAATTTTTAATATTTGTATTTAAAATAAAATTAAAAATACTCACAATAGATTTACAAAGATCTGAAAGTAATATTAAATCTTTTGCTTGATCAAAGAATTGTCCCGACACAACGAGTTCTTTTACAGACGAGAATAAATTTACGAATTCCGGTTCGGTCCAAACCAAGTATTTTTTCTTGTCACTGGCTTCTCTCGGAATCGCCGAAATACAAAGTCGTTTCAACGTAACATTGCTATCGATTACAAGTTTAAACAATTTTTGTGCAATAAACACAATATCACTTGTCTCTGCTACTTGTCCAACTCTTGCCGATTTACAGCATCTGAGAAGCCCCGTGTGCGGTTTAACAGGCGTTTTATAACACCACTCTTCAACCGAATTCAAGAACCATCGATAATTAAGCCCAAGCAGAAACGACGGATAATTAAACACTGTATCTTTTTTGATTGGTGGTAATTGAAATCCTCGTTTCTGAACTGCTTTTCGTTCCCTCTTGTCCATACATTGAAAATAAACTGTTATTGCTTTATATCCATGATCATGAAATGGTTGTCGCCAAAGAATTGAAACTGCCGTACGACACCAAAGACGATTCACCAAAAGACAATTAAATAAATTTTTATTGTCAGACGAACTAATAATTGAAGAGAATTTCGAGGATTCAACTAGATTTTCGAAAATTTCTCTTAGAATATCCGTTAGACTTAAGGCTTTTTCCATTATTTCTATTGATTAATATTATATGTACTAAATCGAAAAAACAATGATAAAACAAGATTTATATTTTTTATATAGTGTTATCAAGCTAAATCGAAATGTGATGTTTACTTAAATCATAGCTATTTTTGTATTATGTTACACAATTACCATCAATGGGGATATAATAAACGGTAATCATTGATTAGTGTTTGATAAGGCAATAATTAAAATTAAAATTTTCTCAATACATGTTCAGTGGGTTACCAAAAATTTATTAAAACAGAAAAAATTAAATTTTTCTCTATATTGAAAATTTTATTTTTATTATGAAATATTTTTTAGTTTATACAAGAATAAAGATAATAATCTATTTAACATATAATTTTCTTGAATTTTTTAAATTTAAATTTTAATTAGAAAATAATTTCTGATTGCAAAATGAGTGTAAGATTTTTTTATAAATAAAAACTATTATTATCTTTATTCTTGTATGAACTAAAAATAATTTATAATAAAAATTTCAATATAAAGAGAAAATTTAATTTTATTAATTTTTGAGGTAATTGATATTTTTGGAATCCACTATACGTGTTTTTTTTGCTTATATTGCAAATTGAAATACTATACATGTATTATATGTATCTCAAACTTTGTTATATGAATTTAGTATACACGATAGATTGTTTAAAATAAATATGAACAGAAATTATTATAGAAATTTAATCATTTACGTAATTTTATGAAAAAACTTATTTTGAAAAGAAAAATCATACTTGTTATCATTATCAATGCAGTTATTTTATTATAGCATCGAAATATTTAATTTTATTGATAAACAAAATTTAAACATATACTGATATACTGATAATTTTTATATAAAATAAAAGTTAAACCGGCGGTTTTATTTTTAATATCTAAAAACCAGCTTTAGATATTAAAAAAACAGGTTCCAAATTCTAACTCTGTTATTCATAATTTTTATCATGTAACAATTGTTGTATATTTGAATTTAAAACATTTTAGAAAACACATTAGCTTAATGACGATATATTTATAGTTTAGAAGGCTCAGAAATTATTAAATTTTTTTTAAAAACATTATACTATAAACTCTAACTTGTGGATTTAGTTACAAATTTGATAGAAACAAAATTGTTTAAAATATTCTTAATTTGAATAGTTCTGAGTTAACAAGTGAGCTCATTTAAATGCATATTTACATGACACATTTCCACTTTCTAAATTACTTAAGAGCTGGATAAATACATACAAAAAAAATTTTGTAAAGTGCATAATTACACAAACAATTTTTAATATAATACCATTGTTATAAAATTTCTGTCAACAAAAATTGTAACTCGAAGGAAGTTATTGAATATAGCGATTCTGACGATATCTTTTTATATTATAATAGTCTGAATTAAAAGAAATAATCATATTAATAATATATACCAAAGTGTAATATAGATACTAATTTTTTTTTGTAAACTCATGATTTTGCTTTATGTTATCTTTAATGTTAATATAAAGTAGTACATTATTATCTTAATATTAATGACAATGAATGAAATACGTACATGTAGTCCAGAATAGGATATATACATATGTAGTACATGTATTTTCCTATTCGGTAATTACCGACATCTTTTGGTTAGAGGAGTGACAGATATTAGCTAATATCCATTTTGTCATAGCGATAGGGTTCCTCCCCCTCCTGAGATTTCATTTAATACATGCACGATGCACGTGTGATTATATTAATACCTGAGATTTGCCTCCCTAAAATATTAACTAATATCTGTCACTCCCCTTACGAACCAAATTTACCGAAATTACCGATATCTTTCATGTTGCTAGGCTTAATGAACGTATATGTAAATACGTAAATATTTTATCATTTTTATCATGTGTACTACTTATTTTCTTTTGAAATTTAGATGTACTGTAGTAAAGATAACAATAACAATAACGTTAAAAACCGATACCGACCGGTATTATCCAATTAATTCAGTTCGAATAATCGATGGAATTACCGATCGGTCAGTAACTGTTTTTACCGTTCGGAATCCTAATTTATATCGTCAAGAAGGTGAAATTATTTGCTGTGAAAATTTGCTGTGATTCTTTTGCAAAATGTCTAAATTATAAATTAAAACTTTAGTGAATTAGAAAGGTTATCTGATTCGTGACATTTCTTTCTTTCATGCGGATAAGCTCAATATTGGTTAGTCTACTGTGTCTTTAGTACGACATGCCTTTTCACGAGTTTCCCATTTTTAAATCTGAACTGGATAGAAAACCTAGAACCGGTTATTATATACTCATATTATTATTATCGTTATGTAAGGTGAGAGCGCAATTTTTTATTTGTATATGAGACTTTTTTAGTATACGTAGAGGCAATGGCTGCTCCTACTACATGTATTTTCGTGTGTGTGTGTGTGTGTGTCAAGGTCCGGAGCATTCTCAGCACACCAGATTTCTTTGAGTGTTATTGCGAAAGACAGATGAAGTGAATAAATACAATGATAATTTAAAGCAATTAAATCGATTGCTATTTAACCAACCAGTTTAGTAAAAAGTGACGCGGACTATAGTTGGGCACCTAAACCATGCGATGCTATTTGGCACACGGTTTAGGTTATACGTAGTTTAGGATTATCGTTATCGTTATATGTACGGTTTTTACAACTCTATAGTCAAAACCAGTGACAATTAAGCGTCACCGATTTAGGCGCCCAACTATAACGCGCGGACACTACAACTATAAGGAATATCAAAAAAGAATATTCAATCCACGCGTTTTTTCTTTGACCATGTTTACAACACACATTTGATTAATAGTAATACACAGTTAACCCCCCGTTAGACCGAAGCAATAAGTAAAACCAATTCTCGATTACTTGAGAAACTGAATTTTTTTGACCACGTAAACTAAAAATAAAATATAATTATTCTTTCTCGAGTTAACTCCTTACCACTATTTTTTTCAAATAATTTAATATTGTTAATATATTAATATAAACTTTTATTATAGCAAAATGAATCTCACCTGATATGAATCAACATTTGAATCAAGGAAGATTGTACTTTCTTTTAGGCTTGGTTGAACAATTCAATTATTCTGTCTGTTTATTATTATGTTAAGAAATATCACAAATTAGGAACTATTGATTCACCTTATCAATAAGAGATTATCGAGTTGGAAAAATATCTTTATTCAATGATGGAACTATTAGCTAAGAATTGCAAAGTTGAATTACGAGATGGATTTTACATTACATATATCTGGAATGTCCATTTCATAATGTTTGCAAGCATTGCTGCACAAATTTATCAATGACACAAGTGGATAATTCAAAATGTGATGCAAGATATAAAGGAGAAGTTTGTCAATTATTTTAAAAACAAGGAAAGAATCGTACCCTCAGGTCAAAAATAATGCAATTTACCTGGAATCTAGAAGCTGCATATCAGGAGATAATTCGTCTCTATGATACTGAAGATATTTTTATACATTAACAATATAGTCAACTCTCTTTAAATGCACACCGATGGAAGACATATGAAAATCAAACCTGAGAGTGCATTTAGAGAATGTGCATTTATGGAGAGGATTTTACTTAGTAATATTATTGACTTGGGACCGAACCAAGGTGTGCATTATAGAATAGAAACATAGTGTGTGCATTTAGAGAGAGTGCATTTAGAGAGAGTTGACTGTATAAAATTAACTATTTTTGATATTATAGGTGTACAAGTTTTTTATTCTTTGACAAAGCAATCAAATATTTGCATTTAGTGCTCCAATCGGGTCAGGTCCAATCCGTGACCCGATCCGAAATATTTCGGGTCAGTGTAAAAATCATTATTTCTCATTCAATATTAACTCAAATTAAATGAAATTTGTGAGTACATACAGTCTGTAGCAAAAAAAACTGTAATGAAAAAAATTATTATTATATTATAAATAATACACGTAACAAGATAAAAATTAGTTAATTTGAAAGCTAAAAACACACAAATTTATTCTAAATGAGTTAAAATAATATATGTTCTCCATTGCATTCAATAATAAGTTCACAACGTCATTTCATCGAACCTACAAGATTGATTAGAATAAAGTCTTGGATATCTCTCCACTTCTTTATCATAAATCTTTCTAATTCATTAAGATTTTGTGACATTCGTCTCTCTACATTTCTTTAACAATTCCCCAAAGGTTTTCAATAGAATTATTTGAGGACCAGCTCATAACTTCTAAAACATTATTCTGAAAAAATTTTTTGCATGATGACTTGTATGCTTTGGGTCATTATCTTGCTGGAGTTGCCAATTATTTTCAAATATTTGATTAATTTTTGGAAGTTGTTTTTGAAGAATTTCAACATAAAATTCTGCATTCATAATTTGTCAAAAGTAAAATAAGCTTGTTTTTCCTGTTGTACAAAATTCATTCTATGCAAGAATTTTTACTTGATTTTTTGGCATATAATGAATTGATCATGTATCATTTTACAGTATTTTGATATAGTTGATTGGTTGTTTTATCTAAAAATAAAGTATTATTCCAATTATCATTAAGATGTTTTTTTGCCCATTCAACCTGTTTCTGTTTGTAAAGATCTGTGAGCATTGGTGCTTTTTTTGGAAGATTTTTTATATTTATAAGTCTTTAAATATCTTAAAATAGTCATATAAGATATCTTAAGATCTTTTTGACTTAATTTTTTGATTAAAGTTCTTGTTAAAATTGAGATATCTCTTCGAATATATTGTCCAAGAGCTCTAGAAAAATTGCCAGTAATTTTTTGTGGTCAATCATTATCTCCTACATGGTTTACAGTTCCAGTTTTATTTAATTTTTTAATATTATCAAATTATATTAAGTGAAATCTTAGTCTGTATATACAAATCTTTGACATATAAATTCCTTCATCTCATAAATATAATAAGACTTGGCATTGTGTATTTTTTTGGATTAAGTATTATTTGAGAATATTAAAACAAATAATATTTGTTAAGTTAATTATATCTGTTTTCTATGTTATGCATCACAAATTGCATTGGACAAAATTAAACAATTTTGTATTTTGTCTGTATTTTACAGTTTTTTTTGTTACAGACTGTATATACATAATTATATTCTGAACAACTCTAATTAAGACACAAAATGCAAGTGTCTTAGTAAAAATAAAAGTTATTAATGAAAAACTATTTTTCGATTTTTGGCTCAAACCTGATCCGAATTTATCAGTTCGGGTTGACCTCAAACCCGAACTGACTGAACAGAGTTTTATTTCACTGATCCTTTTCAACTATTAAAACTAAGTCAATAACAATTGGTGAATATTGGTGCATCTTCAAAATCATCAGCAAAGCCATATAAGCTCAGCCGTATATTGCATTCAATTTAACCTCAAAGCATAAACAGTGAAATTTTATCACCTTTAGTACAAAAATAAAAATAATAAGTACATGTATTGACAAACAAAGGTAATTAATTATTAATTTATTTTTCATGTATAGTTCACTTGAATTTTCTTGATATAGAGCTTTTATCCAGACTCCAAGAGATCAAGACAACTTCTGCTGTGATTTCTCAGGCTATTGTCTCACAACAGTCTATCTTCATTGAATTTCAACAAACTACGTAACAGCCAACTCATAGCAAATGAATAGGACAACTCACAAATTACATTTTGCCCACTAACATATTTTGGATATTATTAAGTGTTAAGCATGGCTCCCCATGATATCATCACTGCTCAATTTTTGTTTTTATATATAAATAGAGATAATAGTTGAGTTTGGCATATATTTTAGATCAATGTCATATAATAAACACAATTAAGTTTTTTTAAATTTTATCTGTCGGCCTCAAGTAGAAAAAAACGCGCAGTATACTTGCTCTAAGAGCATCAAATTTTTGGTAATTGTTAAAAAATTAGCATAGATTTGGAAACATCTAAATGTATCAAAAACGTAACTTTTGCACCAGCGGCTCAAACAACTCCATCATGAATAGAGGAAATTCACGAAGGAGGAAACTCGGGATTTGGTGTAAGTCAAAGAAACTTGTGAGAAAAAGAAAATGACTGTTATCCAACCAAAATGACTAAATGACAGCTAAGTTCTTCATTCTGGAGTTAAATATCTTCTTGAAGTAGAAGATCTTTGAACTCCACGATAGGAACCAATATTGTTCTTTTTGCTGAGATATGATTACCAGGATCCGAAAAGAGTCGTTCGCTCGGAACTGATTCGAGAGATATTTACAGGGCAATTGCGATAAAATGGGAAAACTTAATAAATAAATTTATATATCTTAAAGATATTTTACCTCATTGTTCGCATTTAAATGTTCTCGATAATTATGTATCATTATACCATGCTTTTCTCGTAAATGACCAGATCCTAATAAATTCTTTAAATTCTGAGACTGAATCCTCGACGACCACCTCTTTATTTAATAATCGCAAAAACGTAAAAACAATCTGGGAAACAGTATCATCGGTGATGGGGCTAACCAAAGTCACACCGCATATTTTTTTTCGCAAAGAGCCTGATAATAATTATATAGCCTACTGTATATTATGTGAAAAAAACTCTCATAGTCGAAAAGGAGGCTCAACTTCGAATATATCAAGTTCTAAAGATGGAACAGGAGAAGACGAACGAGAAAGTGCCATTGCACATTATTACGAAGTCATATTCCTCGCATTGTATTTTATATTAAGTAAAAAACAAGTAACTTTATTTGTCGTATAATCAAAGTTATTGTATTTTATTATTAACGTTAACTTTAATAATCCCCGGTTTGGATCCGTTTTGAATATTCCGGTTTTATTAAAACCGGTCTTCGTATTGATTAAATTTCATATTCGAATTTAAATTCGAACCGAATAAAATCGGATTTAAATCCGAAGACCAAATTCGGTTCCAAACTCTACCTTTTTCTTTTTCAAATTCCCTCTCATCATTATTCACAATCAATCAGTGAACAGATTCAGATCCATACAATAATATGATGTCTCTCAGGCATCACATCAAATATTTGTATTACAGTGACTCTAACGTTACGGAACACCGAAAAAAATGGCGAGATTCGAATATCTCGCCATTGTAGAATCGTGAACAAATAAAATCTATCTAAGTTTATTCGTTAAAATAGTTATTATCACTTAATGCAATTTTATTTTCATTGATCTATTGCTTCGCACACCAATGTCTTTTTTAACTTTTTAACATTCCATGTAATATGACCAATTGGACAGAAATAATTTTTCTTTTTCAAGAAAAGATACATATAATTAAAAATTATAATATTACTAATTTAGAACTAATAATCTATATATCTGTATTACTTTTTTAATTCTCTTTGGCATTGAATTGATCAGCTTTTCGCAATAATCAATTTCAATGCTTTTCCAAGCTATTTGTAACTTTTTTCACAGATTATTTCTATTTAAAAGTGCCAGGAAGGTTGCGCATATGTATATCAATCTCATTCCACAAATTTTCAATAGGATTTTAGTTAGGTGACTGGGCAAATCAATCAAGCAAGATAATTTTATTAACAATAAATTATTGTCTTGCATTTTGGATGTGTGTTTAGAACTATTATTTTGCTGAAAACAAATTCACAGTTTTTAGTATATTTTCATAAACTATATCTAGAAATTATTATTTAATATATTAATATATTAATATAAATATCAGCATTCATTTTATCATTAATTTTTTAGAGTTCTTCAATTCCATTAAAAATAACTCTAAATCACAATGAAATTACTATTATATTTTATAGTCAGATATATAACAATCTTTTAGTTGTTTACCAAGCTTTTTTCAATATTATTTTCATTTGTTTGATCCAAATATTTTGAACTTGTTTTTATTGGATCAAATTATTTTTTGCCATTTATTAAGTGTCCAATTTCAATATTTTTTGTTCATGCCAATTAATAATTTTTATGTGTCTTTTTAATTAATTTTCTGTTTAATTCTTGTAAATAAACTATTTTTATCATATATATTAGTATTTTAACTGAATTTGATCTAATTTGTAACCTGATTTAAAATATATATTTTGGATCAGATCAGGTTAAAATTAAATTTGATTCAAAATATTTCAAATCAATCTAAAAATTAATATTTCTTATTTAATATTAATTAAAATTAAATAAAAATTTGTGAATAAAGTTATTAATTATAATTTTTGGATCAAATCCAAACTCAAATCTATTTCAATCTAAATTAAACAAAACTTTAATATATTCTCTACAAAAATTTAAACTCAATTAATTTTGAAACTTATATTAAATTTGAATAATATTAAAGCATTTTTTGTTAATATTAATTAAATAATATAATATTACTTTTATAATAGTTTGAAAAAATATGAGAATAGTCAGATTTTGGTTTGTTTTCGATATTTTTAATTTTTGCAAATATATTAAACTAAAGCTAATTTCATTTTTTTGAATAATATTATTTTGTATATTATATTTTTCTTGTTAAAGAATATATAAATAAATTATATTTTTCTAATAAGATACAAAATATTTTTAAAATAAAAAATGATTAAATTATTATTTATAATAATAAATAGTATTTTACAAAAATTAAAAGTTGAAAAAAGTACTTTTTGATTTATCTTTATAAGTTTTTGTTTCTATTTAAGTTAGTTATATTAAAAAAATATTAAAATATTAAAAAAAACTATTTGTTTACAAAATAATAAATTAATAAAAATAAATTATATTAAATAATAATAATTATTTTAACAAATAAAATTAGATAAATTATATTTATTTACAATTTTTTAATATTAAAATATTTACTAATTAAATTATTAATTGAATTATTAATTGAATTATTAACAAAAATAGTCAAAAATATTTTTTCCAATTTTTGATAACAAATTCAATTAATTAATTAATAAATTATTATAAATATTTATATTATATATACAATTAAATTTTTTTATAATCATTATTTTTGAAAAAGCTAACTTTAATAACTATAAAGAAAATATAATTATAAAGTAATTTGTTTATTATATTTATATATAAATAAAAAAGCAAAATAAAATAATTATAAAGAAATATAACTATAAATAGATATGACTATAAAGAGATTTAACTATTTTTAAAAAAAATAAGATATTAACAAGATGAGATAAAATATAAATTTCTCTTTTGTATCAAAATATACAAATAAATATTTCAAAATAAAATTATTATAAACAAAAAATCTTTATTTCTTATAAAATTTTTGCTCTTAAATATATTTTTAAATTTATAGTATTTATTATATAAAGTAAAAAGAATACTTTAACCAAATTAAAATTATAATTAGAAAAACTTTTTATAAATAGTACAAATATTATGATTAAAAAATTAATTTAATTCTATATAAGTCTATAATAATATAACAAGCAATAAAAAAAATATTTATTTTGTGTACTATATTTAAAAAGCTAATTTTGAAAGAGTGAAAAATATTTTAATAATATATAATATCTTGATAATTAGTTATTAGAATCACATAAAAATATTACTATTTGATTTATTATATTTAAATAAATTAAATAATAATATTTTTATATAATTTTAATTATTAGATATTAATATATTATCTTAAAAATTACTATATATTATAGATTTGCTCTCGTATATTAAATCTTTTATTAATATTAAATTTTGATATATAAGAATAAATACTTGTATAACTAGTTTATAAATTTTGATATAAATATTATTAATATTTAAATATATTCATACTCTTTGCAGATATTTGACCTAAAATTATATATACTTATAAGTTCAAAATTGCTATTGAATAACCAAATTTTTATTATAATATTTATTATTTATAGTGAACTCATATATGTAAATTTTATTTATATTAATAATTATTAAAGATTTATTTATTATATAAATTAGAATAAGAGTTAGAGTAATGAACAAGTTTTTACTATACTATATATATAATAAATATTGATATAACTTTGATTAGTTTTTAATTTTAAAATTTTTCTATCAAAATTAATATAATCAGATTATTATTATTCTACTTAATTTAAATTTATAAATATAGTTAAAGTTCTTTATATTAATATTATTTATACTAAATTTAGTTTTTACTGAAGCAAAATCAAGATTCAGATTTTTAATAATATAAAAAACTTAATATATTAAAATTTTATAAATAAATATAAATATTGAAAAGTTTAATTATATATATTAGTTCTGGTAAAATCTAAATTTTTTACTAATATACAAAATACTGCTTACTATATATAATATACTAATAGTGATTTAGTTAATTAAAAATAATCTTAATAATAATATGATTCTTTTAAATAGTATTACTTAATCTATTTATTTTATTTATTCATATATATTCTTATACTATTTTTTTAAAATAATAATTTTTATATTTAATTTGAATTACTAACTTACTTAATATTTTTTTGATTATCTAAATTTAAATATTAAAACATCAATTCACTTAATATTATTTTTACTTTTATTATATATAATATTATTTAATTAATAAGTCTTATAAATATAATATCTTTTTTATTATTTTATTAAAAAAATTAATCTCAAAATATTATCTACAAAAAAATAAATAATATTAATTAACTATACTTCAAAAAAAGAAATTTTTCTTTGAAAAAAATAAAATCTATATTTAAAAATTGAGAGCTTGTTATTGAGTTTAATTGTAAAGAATTAATAATTTCTAATATTTTAAAATAATTTAATAATAATTAAAGATTAAATTTAATTTCCAAAATACAAATACTATTAAAGATCATAATTCTAAATAATCTTAATATAATATTGCATTTATTATTTGAATACAAAATATTATGTTAAATTATCAAGATCTAATAAATAATATTATTAAAATAAAAGCCAAACATTTTGCAAAATCTTTTCAAATTGATAATTTTAAGTCATCAAATAGTTAAATAAATTAGTTTAAAGAGTGTTACAATCTTTACTAATATATGAAATAAAATAAAATTATATTACTTACTGAATTATTAGTTAAGGATAAATACTAATTTTAAGAAATTCTTTAATCATATCAACTTGAAAATATCTTTAATATTAACAAAACTGAATTTTTTTACAATATAATATCTAACAAGACTCATATATAAGAATCTTTATCTGGTACTAAAAAAGATAAAACATGTAAAATAATTCTTTGTGATTGTAATACTGCTAGAACTAAAAAGCTTCAAGTACTTTTATTAATTATTTTAAGACCTTTTATTGTATAAAAGGTATAAATTATAAACTTTTTTTTATTTTTTATTATTAAAATAAAAAAATATAGATACAAGTTAGTATTTGAATTTTATAAATAAAATTCTTTATATATACTTAATATATTATTTAATTATTTTTTTAGATATTTATTTTTAATGATTTTTTGAAGAAATTGAATGCAAAAATGCATTTACAAAATTGAAAAATTCTTTTTCTTATTGATAATGCTCCTGTTTATATTGTTCAAAGTTCTCTTATCAATATTCATGTTGAATTTTTATCTTCTAATACAACTGTATATTTACAATCATGTGATACTAATATTATCAATTCTTTTAAATATCAATATAAAAAAATATTTGTTCAAAATCAGATTGAACTCTTTGATGCTGTTCAGGATATTTTATATTGTATATACTGTTTATTACTTATAATTTCTCTATTAGAAACTGATAAAATTCAATATTCTTCATGCTATTCATACAACTGCTGATGCCTGGACAAATGTCACTGCTGACACTCTCATTCATTGTTGAAAAAAACTGGCATTCTTTCCTCTCTCACTTACCAACTAATTCAAGAAATTAATGATGAGATAATTGAACAAGAACATAATGCAAAAAAATGAATTGGATGAATTAATTGATCATTTTCAATTTGATAATCCAATAAATGGAGAAGGTAATATATAATATTTACTATGTATTTTTATATGAATGATTCATTTTTTCCTTTCTTCTTTCTAAATTCTTGTTTTTGTATGTGTAATTCATTTTTTTTCTCTCTTGTTTTTTATATGTGTGATTCTCTCTTTTGTATATGATTTATTTGTTTTTTCTCTCACTCTCTACCTTATTAGAATTGGTTCTCTGCCAGAAGAAACTGATCCTGTACCATTATCTTCTACTATAACATTGTCAGTTGCGCCTACCATCTTTTCACAAGCTTTTGATTTTCTTTATCAAAAGGGAATCATAATTGGAGCATCTGTTACCGATATTGATATTGTAAGAAAATTGAGTTGCGAGTGACGCCAAACATCTTTAGATAGATATTTCAATACTTCACATGACTAAATTATATATTTAAATACAAGTATTTGGTAATATGAATATTTGTAATTATTTGTCAATTATTTGTTATATCATGTGATTATTATTTGCTTATACCGAAGATTATGATTACTACTTAGTAACATCAGTATATAGTGTATACCAGTATAAAGGACTGCAATACGTGGATCACAAGCTATCGATTATCTTGGAGATGATTTGATTGATTTCTTGAGGTAGATTTTTTGGCGTTGATCTTGTTTCAACAGTCAGTGAAGCGATGATTGGGTATGTCTTTGATTGGTTCTGTTAATGTAGCAGTATTCGGAAAACCTTGTTAACCCTACACTCAAAGCACATTTCCACTGGTGTAAAAAAATTCTTAAGAAAATAGAGCATTGGCAAAACTGTTACTTCTCAATGTGTAGAATTGCTGCCTTGGTTTTCCCAAGCCTGGATCTCAATCCAATTAAGAACATTTTGTCTATTGTTGAGTTAGGGATTCATAAACGCCACTCACAACCATCCAGTCTTCGGAAGTTAAAGCAAACGGTAAAAAGAAGAATGGAATGTAATTGATCGATCGTCTTACTGCAAGCTGCTAAAGGTCAGACAAAGTATGTATCGACATAAGTTTCTTCATTTTATTTTGAAGCATTCTAATAATTTGTCACCCCCTCCCACCCTTCCAATACACATTTTCATCTATTCTATCATATTCACGGATTAAATTTTGTATTTGCTTCTTAGTAAAGATGTTTATACATTTTATAAGATACAAACGTTTGATGACTTTAGATGTTATGCACCATATGACGGACGACGTAATGCGGAAGTACATGAAAATGATTCGGAAGTCTGGAAAATATAATAATTATGATATTAGAAGTGGTATCAGTCCCCATCGGTCTGACTCGGTCTGGGGACCACAGTTCGGTTCGTTCTTTCCCTAAGAACCAATTAGCAGCCCTACTATAGCATTTCCCTATACATAATACCCTCTAACGATTCGAGTATTGATTTTGTAAAATACTCGAGTACCAACTAAGCATAGTGTTAATGCAACATATACAATATCATATCCAAAAAATTATGTTCCAAATAATGAACCGCCATTCGTTTTTCTCGTAAACACCATCGCCGTTGTGATTTTTGTGTATTATGTGCTCTTCGCGCATACCATTATTGGAAGTGGGGGTAAATTTGAACCATTTAAACAACTAATTTAGAAGCTCTATGCGATTGTTTTAAAACAATAACATATATACGGGGTAACTTTGCATAACGATAATTATATTTCGATGAATCAGAATATTCTTCTATGCATGGTACCTCCGCACTTTACGGTATGTATGCTATCAAACTCAAATCCAAAATATACATGCCTCGATTCTAGATGCAAAACTAATTAAACCATGTAAACAATCTTTCTTTGAGCATTATGTTTCTCCTTTCGTGATACTTCTAGTGTGATGGCGTGGACTAACGTGTGCTCTTCCGATAGAAACTACACAAGAAATCAGAAAATCAGCATCTTATTCTCATTAAAATTATACCAAATCAACAATACAACGGATGGATTTAATGACTTAAATCTGATTTGGACCCAAAATTTTTTATTTCTTGTATCAAAAAAAAAAAGAAAACTAAGAATGTGGAGTATGTGGAAATGATATTAACTAATATCGATATAAATTAGAAATTTTTTGTTTTATCGTTAATTTTAAATATTGATACATATCAATATACGATACTATCATGTGTTTAACGTTAAGAACAAACCAACTGATATTAAGATGATACCATCTCTTATCGCGTTATACATGTACATGTAAATCTCAAAAAATCGAAGTCTTACCCCTTCTTATTCAGATGTACAAGCGCAAGCATTAGACAAGCCATGCATAAGTTCGTACTCTACATAATCATACGCATCCGATACCTACCCCAATCCAAACTAACCAATTACACGATCGAAAATTCCACACACGCTACGAGTTTAATGGTTTATCTCCCTCGTCTCGCTTCTCACTTGCGAAGATTTTACGCAGAAGTGATTTATTGATCAACATCTGAGCGTAGAAATTGGCGTAAGCATGTCAAATATTTAGAATTAAAAAGAACAAAAACAAGAAAACGAACAAGTTATCTTTAACTTTATCGAATACAATGGCCATTTATTTGTTTGGATCACAAGCAAACGAATAACGAAATCATTCCGAAGGGCGTAATAACGATAAATTTCAATTAATTAATCAAAGAAGTTGTTGCTTTTGTTTTGTGTACGTGTTCTGCGTGCGTGTATAGGAGTGCATAGAAGAGAGAGTTATCGAATGTGTGTGTTGTTTATGTATTTTGTGCACATGTATTATCAAACTATCATCTTGACATATCGATATTAAAAGGCTTTTGCTTGGCTTCTTGTGTTATCGAGTGAAAAATACATGTAAATGCACATGAAATTAACACACTTCACACACAAGAAATGAAAAAACATCGAACTACGTACGTAGTAGGAAATTTTATTTTTCTTACTAGATTCGATTTATAATATATCAATACGTATACGTAAGTGGTTGTCTACCAAATTAGTTTTAAAAAGTGACTAACTATGATTAATTAATTAATTTCAATTTAAAAATGAATTTCTGCAGCTTCGTCGACTCGTCCATCAAATGCACGAATTAATTATTTCCACTGTTAATAATTTAATAAAATTATTAAAAACATGCAGCAAATAATAATTACTAATACGTACAATGATAAAAAATGCCAACAACAATAATATTTAAATTTTCGTCATCATTTCCATAAGTCCTATTACGGGCGAAAATAACCCTTCGTAAAACGCGGAATTAAACAATAATAGTAAAAATAAAAAAGGAGAAATCCGCTATGACCAGTATGCGCAGTAATAAAAAAGGTTCATTTTATAGTCCAAATGAACAATATAAAAAATGCTAGTACATACGTATGCTCAGCCCATCATCTCATGTTATCTAAAAGATTCGGCCTCTTCGTAATGCCAAATATTCTCTTTTCCTGTTTGACCTGAGTCACGTCTATGACTGTTTATTGGATATATTCAGGTATTATCTATAGAGCGTGTGCACAGCCATATCGTAAAAAAACGAGTTTAGTTATTGGTGTGTGTTGTGAGAACACTACCTAAATGGAATAATCATCGCGCGGTTAATATACTGTAATTTATTTATTGTGTGCTCCCATACGTTTGTCTAAATCCTAATGTTCGTTCTCTGTTATTCTATAGCGATAGATTATTTGCATCATTGTTTGATAATGCGACTGATTCAACAAGAAAGTGTGATATTTAATATTTTTCAATCAAACATATAATATTTTGTTTACCAATTGCATTACTTTGCACCACATTGCATTTATTATACAGATTTAGGTGAATCAAGTATTTACTTTATAACTACATTTGGTCGGCTATCTGCTCCTTTTTTTTTCTGCACGCACAACTTTGAATAGAATTTTTGTTTCTGAAAAATCCTTTGATTCTATCGGATTGTTGTGTGTGCGTGTAAAAAAAGTTTATAATGAGCAAAAACATTTAGTTACGACTGAAAATTTTTTGATTTTTTTCTCTCGCAAAAGTATATTTACTATCATACATAATTGAACATTAATTAAATAATAATTAACAATAATAATATGTCAAAAGTAAAAAGATTAAGTGGACTATTTAGAAAAAGTTGGTACGGCGGAATAAATGTAGTTCAAAGTTATAATTGGCCACAGAATCAATCTCCACCACCAAGTCCATCAACGCCTAGACGGCCAAAACGACCAGTTCTAGTATCAGATGTATTGAAAGAGATATTTGCGTTCATTGCTCTACCGAATGAACAACAACCATTTGGTAATCTAGATAAGAAAACATACAAGACACTGCATTCTTGTCTACTAGTGAATCGACAATGGTGTCAAGCAGCAGTACAAGTTCTTTGGCGACAACCATTTTTCACACGAAATGATAGAGCACAAATCACAATGATGGAGTTATTGTTGAATGCTCTGAACCCGAAACTTCAACAATACCTGATAAACAAGGGAATCAAAATACAACCGTTGAATTCTGCACCTGCGTTCGACTACTCGTATTTCATCAAACATATCGATTTCGAATCTTTCGTCGATATGGTGAGAAAATGGTCGACTCGCACGTTTCAAGGTGGATTTGCTAAAGACGCGAGTTTTCTAGTGGCAAAAGTTGTGCTCGGGCATATATTCAGTTATTCGCCGGGCATTGAGCGATTAAGGCTTTCTTGCTTTCAAGGACATTCTGAAACCAATTATTTTCATGAGATTTTATTGGAGCCCGAGATTCATGTTAATTTGTTACAATTGAAATATCTTGAATTATCTGGTCAATTTTATCGTGAGGATAACGTGTTAGCTGGATTGTCAATAAGTTGTAAGAATGTGGTATGTATTGGATTTTTTCCTTGTTTTTATTATCTTCGTCCTTGATTATTATTTCGTCGCTAATTTACGCAACCATTTATAATATAGGAATATTTACAACTTGGAAATTGGTGTCTTGACTCTTGGTGTCGTAACCCGGAAGCACTAGGTGAAGACATAAATGCCTTATTCAAAGGTCTAAAAAATGTCGAGCACCTCGAAATTGACAGCGACAAATCGTTTTTCCCAATTCCCATCTGCGTAGTCGACGCATTCAAACACATTTCAAATTCTCTAAGACATCTAAGATTCCGATGCATCGATTTCTCCTCGAAAACATGTATGCCACTAGAAGGACTAGCCACCTGTCGAAAACTCGAGACGCTCGAATTCATTGACTGTGAGCAGGTCGGAAAACGGTTATTGGAACCGTTGAACGCCGAATCGTTGCCCAATTTGCAACGAGTGCGGATCGACGGGTGTTCGGAAAAAGATATTCGATTTTGGGATTGGGTTGATTTGGTTAATGGTCGGCGGAGGTCTATTTGAACCTACTTGAATTTCTTGTATTAGTATATATCAGGATTTTATTATTATATAGTTTGTAAGGAAAAATAAGCATGATATTTAGGAATAATTTTTATTTTGGTTTGTATTTTGTAAAATATTAACGGTAATAAAAAATTGGATACACTAACACACAATGATAATAGTATGTATCTCTATTCTATCTAATGATGTGGCTTCCACTTTTTTTTGATATACTGTATCTGGTCTGCATATCAAAAGTTGTGAATGTCAATGACGCAAACTTTGCATTTTTTTTGTCGTTCAGAAAACAATACGTAGGACATTGCATTGCTTATGTTGCATCGGAACAAAACCTTACCATCGTGATTATACTTGTACTTTTGATTCCTTTCGAAAGGTTTTTTTGTGCATATCAAAGAGAGACGTTTAGTGTAAGAGAGAATGAATGTGTGTGAGAGTTTGAGATATAATGCATGAAAATGATGATACAGATCTTTTTAAGTTGGAAATCTTTGTCGTTGATGTTCCGGGTCATGTCTGAGCTATGCGGAGTTTACTTGGTGTATAAGGTTTATAAATCAAAACATGTGACAAAATCTTGGTTGTTTCAGATTTATTTGAATCAAGGATGTGCGTATATATTAAAATTTTCATTATCACACAAAATTAATTATATAGCGCTAGATCTGCATTAAATTTTGAGTGCAAATTTATTAGCACACCTAAACGCAATTCGCCGGGACCATATAATTAATCAGACATGGACATGCATTTAAAGAGAGTATATACAGTATTTAGAGCTTTTATGAGCTTGGACTGAGCAAGAGCATGCATTTAGAGAGTGTGTACATGTTATTCGTCGTTTCAGAATTCCCAAAATGGTGTACGTCGTTTCGGAATTCAAAATTAATGCGTGTCGTTTTGGAATTCTGAAATGACGTAGCTGTATCTTTGTACAGAAATTCAAAGTACGTAATTTTTTGGATTTAGTGTTCTTTATGAGCCTGAAATGGATACTCCGAATAGCACAAGCCATCAAACCGACACGCGAAAAAAAACGAAATGCATGACTTGAGGGCATTAAGTAAAAATATTGTGAAGCTGATTTTACATATGATCTTAGCAGTAATACAAACCGCGTGATAAATTTGTGTTAAGGACTATTAAGAGCTAAAATATCGCCTTTCCGACATTTTAAATTAGTCCCAAGCTGTATATCGTTTTTTTTCGCGTGTCGGATTTGAATGCCGGTTTGATGGCTTGTGTTGCCCGGAATATCCATTTCATTATTTTCGATTTCGGAATTCCAAAATGACGCACGTCAATTTTGAATTAGACGTGAATTCCGAAATGACGTATAACAGATACGTCGTTTTGGAATTCCAATACGTGCATTTAGGAAGAGTTGACAACATACATATACTCATTTGATATCTAATCAAAACATATTGGTAACCTTTTTATTGTGATTAAATTATTTGAGACTTAAGGTAAAAGGGGTATTTGGGCGAATAGGGGCATTGTAATGTTTTTAATATTCCCAATATATTTTTAAAATATGAATATATACAAGTCTTAAGCACATATTGCCCAATATTATTACAATACTCTCCCATCCATCACCATATCCCTTTTATCTTATGTTCTCATTTATTCTACTTTTAAAAGAAGAAATTTACATGTACTAATTTTCCTCTTATCAATTTCATCTAATTAGCGATGAATTTGAAATTATTTCTTTATAATGAAATTTTTATTATTATTAGTAAATATTTTTTGTTTTTATATCAAAATAAAGCTAAGAACTTGTATTTTAACATATATTTTTTATAGATTTTTTAAATTTAATTTCAGAAATATTTCAAATTGTAAAGATGATTACACAAACTTTTTATAATTAAAATTTAATGATTTAATTATAAAAAGTTTGTGTAATTAACTTTACAATTCAAAATATTCCTGAAATTAAATTTTATTAAAATACAAGTTCTTAGCTTTATTTGATTTATAAAATCTAAAGTTATTAAATGTTTGTATTTTATAAAATGTATAACTTTTTTATTAAGAAGTAAATACAAAATTTAATTCATGAATAGGTCTTTTTTGAATATATTTATAGAATAAATTTTGTATTTACTTCTTAGTAAAAAAGTTAATACATTTTACAAAATATAATTTGATAACTTTAGATTTTATATATTATAATAAAATTTAAAATTTTATTATAGAGAAATAATTTCAATTTTACTATATTTTACTATACTTTTTTGTATTTTTGGTAATTTATTATAAAAATGCATATGAAAATTTATGATCTTAAAATTCTCATAAAAAAGTTATATAATTTTAATTTTTTAAAATTAATAATTTTGAAAAAAACTTTAAATTATCAAATTAATAATCTTTTTCTTTTTTTGAGATATAAATTTGTGAAATTATAATATTGGTATTTACTATAAAAATAAAGAATTCTAATTGGTCAGATTAATTATTATGTATAAAATAAATAATTTTAATTGATTAAATTATTTTTTGCTATTATTTACTATATTAATTATTTTTTAATTATTAAATATAAATAAATTTTAACTAATTAATATATTTAATAATTTAATTCTATATAATATTATAATTATAATATTATTAATTGATAAATTTATAGTTTTATTATTAATATTTTATATATAAAAATAATAATTTATATTTAAATAATTAAATTAGAAATTTTATTTAGTAAAAATTGATATAAAAAAATTAATACAAAAATCAATACTTTTCACTTTCAGAATATGAAAAACTGGTAATTATAAAAAGATTATAACTATATAGAGATCAATTTGTTTATGTTTTATAATAAGTTAGAAACTAAGAAGATTTAATTATATTGATTTGATAATGATCTGAAAAATAACTATATAAAGATTCGAGTATATTATAAATAATTTTTTTTGAATACAAGCAAAATTAAATTATTCAAAATAAAGAAATAATTTTACAAGTTAATGTTTAACTTTAACTATTAATATTAATTTTATCTAGTAGTAATTATAGAGAGATCAGAATGTATAATTTTTTTATTTCATATAAAATATATTATATTAGTTAATTTTGGAAAGTACAGATAGTGATTTTGCTAGTTGATAATATGTAATATTTATAATTTGAAAGCATTATATATATCGGGAAACAGTATAACATTCAATACTGCGTCATAATGCCAATTTTGAATTATAGATCTTATATATACATGTAATAATTAACCTGACCAATCAGAACTCTTAATATGAACGCAAAAATTGTAATTTTCCTTTTTGAGTTATAACACTTGATATGATGCCATCTAAATGGATGTCCCTCACTGTATAATAAATTTTGTGTAAAATTCTTGAAATCATTTATTCATTCAAACTCAATAATAATTAATATATTAGCTTACCATAGCACCCTAGCTTCTGAGTCTTCTTACGCAGATTATCCTCATAATTTCGTTGTATACTCGATTTCTAGCCGTTGGATCGGTACAGCACCCTCTCATATTTCACAATATACTCGACCATTTTCCTCCCGTAGTAATCAATATGCTTGAGTCACGCGTTTTTCTGCTCGGCTCGCTTTTTTGGTATAATCAGGCTAAACTCTTCGATATCGGATCCTCGGGTCCGTCATCCTCTTCGTCTTGCTTGTTGGCAGGCTCCCCTTGGACAGATGTTGAAAGTTCTTCTATCAACCCTTATACTTTATCTTGCGCAATGGTTTACCTTGATGAGCTAGCTTTGTTCTCGTTCTTTACATTGGTTGAAACGTTGACGCACTAAAGGAATAGCCAATCCAATCTCCCTCATAATTCATCATCGGTGGGGACGATTCAGGTGTAGTGGGGAGCACCTTGCGGATAATGAGCTTAGCCTGGATCTTTCAGCTTCCTCCTCCCTAATAGTTTTGGGACATATGGGGCGTTTGCTTTTGTAAGTGCTTTGAGTTGCAAGAATTGCATTCATAGCATGGGTTCAGCTTTGTTGTTAGTGTGTTGTCGTTGATAATTCCGTAAATAGTTTGTTTTGAAGTGGAGAGGCTCCATAGTGACGAAAGGGGTGATTTATCTCGCCTTCTCGTCTCTCCTATCTACCTATATACTATTTCCCGCATCGTGATAGTGGCTAGTTTCATATGAAGTCCATTCGGAAAGACTACAAAGTAAGCGGGTCCGAAATTACGCAACTCGGAATTGGAATTATTGCGGAATTGGATCAGCGTGAAGAATATTCATGCTTTATTAATAAAAAATGTGACAGTGGGACATTTGCTCATACAACTCAGCGGTCAGACTTAAATTTTTCCTCCACCCTACACTTCTTGGCTTCTGGCGCTCAAACATAACCCTATCATTCAGTATAGATAATCATAGAAAGTATCATCCGCCTTCCGCTTCTTTTTGTTCGTTTGATACGAACTCTCCAGCTGGATGAGATTTTGTGCGAGGTCAATGCTACCAAGTTTTGCTTAACCTCCGTGATACATACCAGGTCATCGATGGCTCAATCTACCCGTCCTGTAGCATACCCGCCAACGACTTCGATTTGTGGACCATTGAGAGGTGGCATTCTGATGAGGTGGAATGCCGTATGCAAGGTTGTTTCAATGTATGAATTGCACATAGCTTCGTTGCTGTCGGCAACCGTGCCTATGTTGGCTGAATCTGCGTTATTTCCTTGACACATTGAAGCTATTCGTCGTCGTCTGTGAGACTGTGAATTTCTGCGCAGTACAACACGGAATGAGATGATGAGTCTGTGACTCGAGACTTGCCTTCACGATTCGCAAATCTAGCTGGAGTAACGAAATGCTTGTTACGCTGTCCGCTGATGTTGTACTTCGCTAAGACTTCCTTCAGGTTACGGCAGGATAAGAACGGCCTTTTCGTTTTGGTATTGCTTTCGCTAGTTTTATAGCCGGACCTGCTTTGAAGCCATCTTTCTTTGGAAGACTTGACCGTCTATTTCTTGTTCACAGAGGATATCGAAATGTTTTTCCTCAAGAATTCTATTAGCATATCCGTGCTCCATTTTCTGGGACAACGAGTTCGGAATAATTTTGCGAAGTTTATGAGTGTTTTGGTTGTACAATTCCGTGTTCTACGATCAAATAAATCATTTGATTTATCTGTTTTAGTGATATTCCCACGATTACGTATGCTTTTAACCAAAAAGTATTTAATTAAGTGCTTCTATTGTAGCTATCCTTCTATTAACGTTAAACTTATCATCTCCA